TAACCAAACCCTACATGCGCTCCAGATCACCCAAGTCACTTTACAGCTCTCTTTTCTTCAGACCAAATGAACCCATAAACAGTTCCTTCCCAAGGTCCTTATTTCCACCTCCCTATTAATCTTTGTAGCCTTTTGTCCGTCCTTTCTAGCAACGAGCACATTTCTCAATAGTTTCTGAGCACTCGGGATATAAGAAGTTGCTCACTCAGTTCCTTGGGTGTTTTGTTTGAAAGACACATACACACAGTGAGCTTCTATTTACTGATTCACTCCTCAGATGCCCACAACAGCTGAGGCTGGGCTGAGGTCAAAGCTGGCAGCTGGCTCTGCTAATGGCCTCAGCAAAGCAGCAGCAGATGACCTGTTTGCCTGCCACCCACTTGGGAAACCTGGACAAAGCTCCTGACTTCAGCCTGGCCCGGCCATGGCCATTGCAGCCATCTGAGAAGTGAACGAGTAGATGGAAAATCTCTCTCTCTCCCTCTCAATAACTCAGACTTTCAGATAGATAAATCTTCAATAATTTTTAAAAACTGGGAACTGGGAACCCAATCCAGGTCTCTCCTATGTGGGTGGGAGGAGTTAATTGCTTGGACCATTACGGCTGTCTCTAAGGGTCTACAATAGCAGAAAGCTGCAGTCAGGAGCCAAATCAAACCCAGGCACTCTTGACATGGGATGGAGTAGTCTTACTCAACATCTTCATGGGTTGGCCAACACTCCTGGTTTTTTTTTAACACCTGTAGATTCCACACAGTGTTTCTTAGCACATGTTGGCTCCTTCCAAGCTTTTGCCAAAAGCTGTTATAACTCCTGTATAAAAGAAAGAAATGATGAAGAAAACAGGAAGGACATCAGTAACCTGTCAACATGGAAAACTTATTTTCTGAAACAGAAAAAAGAAGTATCTTTCACTCACAGAAAAGGGAACAGTCTGCTTAGTCCATGCTTCAGTTCAAAAATTACTTAGGCCAAACAAAGCAGCCGCACTGTATGAATGTGAGAGGGAGGGCAGGCATAAACAAGTGTATGTGTGGATTCAAATGCAGAAGAGGTCAGGAGTCTTACAATCAACCTAAGACTCTGCTTTTTTTCATTCTTCTCTTCCTGCAATTGGAATCCAGACAATCAAGTAATCAATAGGTGTGCACAATGATTTGCAAGCTTCTGAGGGAAATTATGGAGGTATAATTGCTTTTGAAGAGTTTACAGCAGTTAGGCAGAGAAAATCACCTCACTGGCATTCAGATAATTAATAAAAGGTATAATCCTAAATGAGTGCGAGGAGCCACAAGAGATGTAAGAGTTGGTGAGATTGTAGATTGGCGGTGTTGTCTGGACCTTTCCTGGGGGAAGGAGGATATGCTGGCCCCTGATGTGTGTGCAGAGGCAGAGGGCCAAGATGCTTAGTGGACTGGGACTATACACAGGTATTTCAAAAGGTAAGTCGAAAACTGGAACTAAAAACTTACTTTCTGGGGTGTGTTTGGTGCAGGGGGTTAAGCCACTGCTTGAAATACTCACATGCCACATCAGAGTGCCTGGTTTGAGTTCTGGCTACAATGCTTCCAATCCAGCTTCCGGTCATTGTGCCTGGGAAGAATGAGAGAGAGGCTAAGAGAATGGGGCCCTGCCACTCGAGTGGAAAACCTGGATGGGATTCTGGGTTCCTGGCTTGCCTGGCCCAGCCCCAGCTGTTGTGGGCATTTGGGGAGTGAACCAGCAGAGGAAAAAGGATCTCAATCTCTCTCTTTCTCAAATAAACATTAAAAGTTTATTTTGGTGCAAAATTGTTGAAACTCATATATACATGGGGTCTCCAGAAAGTCCATGGGAAAAGTACATTATGAAAGAGCCATGCGTGGATTTCAACTTTTTGTTTTGTTTTGTTTTGCATCTAGGTAAGCTTATCTCTTAATTCCAACTTTCCACGAACTACTTCAGGTGTCACAAACTTCTTCACTGACCCTCACTCAGCACCTTTTGCTAGCAAGCATCCACCTAACAAGTAAATGAATTACCATTGATGAGTTACCATTGAACAGGGGTCAATGTAGAGAAAGCCACCAGGCCTTGAGGAGTGCCTGGGTGCCCACAGACAAACAGCTGCCCTTCTTCTATGAAGCCAGGGTAGAAAATGTGAAACTCAACCTCAAGTGCTTGAGGAGCCAGTCCTGAACATAAACTAAAACTTTTGGGAATGTGCAGAAATCCTTATTGGAAAGAGCGATTAGAAAATGGTGGGGCAGAGAGCTGAAAAGAGAAGGAAGAGAAGTACTCACCAACAAACAGAGGGGAGAAAGAGGAGAAAGAAGAAAGCAGCATAGTAGGCTGTCTTTGTAAGAATTTGAGTTGTGGGTAAGGGCATTTGAGAGTGGATCTCTTAAGATGCAAGATGTGGCTTTCCGTACTTGTTGGTACCTCTGTAGCCGCTCGTGGAACCAGGATCTGCTCCTTGCTTTGTCTTTCCAGTGAGAAATCACTGAGAATGTGGGCCATATGTGAGTGCATCTGTGGTTGGCCCTCAACAAATGCTTGTTGAATTGGTGAAACTAATATGTCCTGAACTTTGTAATTCCCAGTACAGATTTTCCTTGTAAAATACATTCCACTCTGCTTCTCTTTGAATAGCAGCCCCTCTCTGCTGGCTCCTGGCTTTAGATCAGGTAGTCCCAGCCAACGTCAGTGTGAGCCATACCAGTCTCTTTTTTTCCCACTTTACCCCAGGGTCTTTCTACTCATTTCAAAAATCTGTAATTTAGAATCACAATCTAAATAGAGCCTGCAAATGTTCCCTTGATGTCAACCAAATAGAGGCTGCAAGTGTCCCCGAGAGAGAAGCCCACTGAATCATATAAAACATTTATATCTAGGTCAGAAGGCATATGTGAGGTCCTTACCTGAAAACAAGATTTGTGGCTGCAGGAAGAATGAGAATTCTGGTTGTCTAGGAAGTTATAACTTGGAAACATAAAGGGCAACATGCGAATCTTGGGGGGAAACCATGACTTGTCCCTGCTACTCAGTTTTGTCTTAGAATATTCACGTCCAGTGATGTCCATTCTTAAGCCAAGCATTTCACCCTGGCCATCGTCCTGGCTTCCAGAAGTTCCTGGTTGAGTGTTTTGGAGACTAACAAAGTCTTTGTCTTTGCTTTGCCAGCTCAGCACCAGAGCAGCTGCATTGGGTATGCTGCCAGGCTGTTTCTCTGTGTGTGCTCATTTGCTGAGCAGGTGTGTTCTCCCCAGATACACCTTTTAAGGTGATGGTGTCATCAGTCAGCAATGCCCAAGGAACTGGAGAGAGTGCGGGGGGATGAGGCTAATTGGTTTCAATCCAGAGCTCTCGCTGCTCCGCACATCCCAGCCTGGTGCATCTGCTGTGCTTGTGCCCTCCCTCTGCTCAGGATGTCATTGTGCTCTCCCGGAAACTTCTGGGGGTGGAGGCAGGTGGAGGCTCCGCAGCCATGGGAGCTCCGAGGTAGACAGTAGTGATAGTACATAAGCTTCTGGTGGGGTCGGGGAAGGAGGTCTCCCTACCTCTCCCTCTCCCACTTGGACCATCATGAAGTCGGAACTGAGATCATACTCACAGCCTCTTGCTCAATACCCTTCACAAAGTTCTGTTATTCAAATGTTCTGATAAACCTCTGACTTTGCAGATATTGGGGGGCTTTTTCACTGTTGTGCTCACCTTTGCACATTATTTGTACATGTTTACTATCCTGCTGAACTAGTTCTGCTTGATTTCCTTGTTCACTCTTTAATTTGGTAGCACCTTATTTTACAGTCCACTAACTTTGTTGAAAATAAATTCACTTTACTTGTGTGGTTAGTATTACTCGTTTGATAACATAAGTACCATATTAGGGTGCAATGAATGCATATAAGTGCTGTGCAATTACAAGGTAAATATATGATGGGTTTATTTTATCCTCGCAGCCCAACACAGGGTGACATCGTAATTACTTTTGGACCCATTAAGTGTACTTACCACATAATCTGTAGGAAGATTAATTATGTAGTTAGCACACGCCACCTTCCATTTCCACATACTTTCCAAGATTACACCTCTTTTAAGTTGATGTTGTTTTGTATAAATCGCTTATGCTGAATTGCAGTAGTCGTTAGGAATTTTCAGGAATGAACCACACCCTCATGTGCATCTAAGAAAAGAAGGGGAAGCAGCTACAGCATCTCTTGGGGGGCGGGGGGACACCCAACATTCTAAATTCAAACTAACGCTTGTATTTTTGCTTTGCTCATGCATCCAATAGGATGGAGTAGGAGAGGTATGGGAGAAACAGCATGTGCCCCCTTAGAGACAAGTCCTCAGCCACAATAAAACCTAGAGCCTAGCACCGAATGGTGTCAGAAAAGATTTACCATGGACAGCGCCACACCTGGGACTATCACCCAAAAATTCTGCCCTATTGGTTGCACATCCCCAGACTGCTGTTGTCAGTGTTCTCTGAATCTAAATGGTTTTGTGCCAAAGCTAAAATTCCTGTTGCTCTGGTCTTCTCTCTGTTGCCTCGTGGACTCTGTGTGACCTTCCTGTCCTAGACCACTCTCTGAAAATGCATGTGCCCAGGTCATACAGACACGGAACAGTTCACCCATACTCTGTCGTTGAATGTGGGGCTCTCTTCCCCTCAATGGAAATAAATATACTTCTCAGATAAATATGACTTTCTAAAATAAGGAGTCGTCTGTTTTGACTAGAAAAATATTTTCTTTACAAAATCGATTTTCTGCAAGAGCCTTTTATATGGTAAGCTACCTTAATGCAGTTGAGATATTTGACTAGCATCGCTTTGATTGATATAAGGCATTATCGTGTGAAGCAGCATACAACCTGTGGCTGGCTACATATGTCATTTTCTTTGAGCATTAGCTCCAAAATCCAATAGCATTCATTTTGTGTCTTGTGGGGACAAGGGAGGGTGCTTTGGCTTTGTGCCCATGTTGGCCATTTAGGACTTCTCTTGTGTCTTTCAGGCATTGAGAATGCCAGCGACATCGCTCTGTACTCGGGCTTGGGTGCTGCCGTCGTGGCCGTTGCTGTCCTGGTTGTTGGGGTCACCCTCTACAGACGGAGCCAGAGTGACTACGGCGTGGACGTCATTGACTCTTCTGCATTGACAGGTGGCTTCCAGACCTTCAACTTCAAAACAGTCCGTCAAGGTCAGCGGCGTAGGTCCCCACACCTCATCCCCAGGACCATAGACTACGCTCGCACAGGAACCCCGCTGTTCTCCTGGGCCCTGTGTGAAGGTAGCTCTGGGCCCTGGGAGCCGCTGCCAAACTGTCTGCACGTATGAGGAGACCAGACTTGAAGAAGTGGTCGGCTTAGGTCCTTGGCTACTGAGGACAAATGGACCTCTGCGTACCACTACCAATATTTTAAATGAGGTGTCTCCTTCCTGGATAGAGCATGAGCTTAGCCAGTTATTACACCTCAAGTTATTCAACTTCCTATGTTAAGAAGACTCTTTAAGTTAACTAAAACACTCAGTATTCAAGACTGAGGACCAAATCCTATATCACAACCTGCCAAGAGTACGTATTATCCTACTTATGGAGCAGAATTTTTGTTGTTGTTGTTGCTTTTAACTTAAATAAGTAAAAGGAGGGTATATGATGGGACAGTTTGAAAAAAAAAATACGCATCTAGCCTAAGTGACCTTCAACATTGTCAGTCCAAGCCACCGTTTGTTGTGGGAGAATGGAAATCTGTCCCATCAAGCTATAGCAATACTCATTCGCAAAGCAGAGAGACATTTTATTCTCTTCTACGAACCCAAAGTATTCCTGATTGTGGGGTGGGGTGAGACACATGTGGCTTTCATTTTAGAACAAATGAAGCCATCTCTCTTTAGAGATGATGTTTCAATCTGTGTCTTCATCAGCTGCATTGTTATTTTTATTATTGTTTTTTGGATGTCAGTGATCCCATAACACAGATCAGGTACTTGGCTGGGATTGACATATAGGCTCCTGAAATGGAAACCCAAGCATGTTCTGAAAATGAACAGTGAGGTGGCCAACAGGGATGAGAATCTTCTTCCCACTGTTTACTTCTGGGCACCTCTGTTAGGCTTCAGACGTCCCCTAAATGTAGATACATGGCTTAGTATATGTGATTTAATTAGAAATATATGTAATGAAGAACTGATTTTTATACTACATAACTAACTGGAAATATATTTCCTTCAAATTATAGGATATGAATACTTTAGAGCAGAACATTTAAAAATCTCAGGAAATGCATCCTGAGGAAAGACAGTTTTGGGTGTAAGTCCATAGACTTTGAAGTCAGTCATGTTGAGTCCAAAACTGCTTTTTAATCTAGTTAACCATTGACCTTCTCTGAGCCTTAAGTTTTTTTATTTGAGAAGCAGATATAAGAGGAAGATAGAAAGTGCATAAGAGTACTCTACCATCTGCTGGCTCACTTCCCAAATGCCTGGGAAAGCCAGGGCTGGGATAGGCAGAATGCAGACTTTCGTAAGCTTACACACGTCTCCTTACAAGGGCTTCTTGGAACCTATATGTATTGTGAATCTCTAAGAGAATGGATAGCTTTGCCAAACTTAGTTGACCATTTTGGCTTACATTTCGGGCCTCCAATAGCTGTGAGCCTCCCTTATAGTCATGGTGATGCCGCTACTGACACGGGTGGCCGTATGGTGTTCACCTCGACTGTCTTAGAACAATGAATCGATTGCCCCAGGGAAGTGAACAGTGAGGTCTTTCAGCAGAATGTGGTTCTTGGGGCAGCCCAGGGACTTGAGGAAGGTTTTCCAAAGAGAAGATTGGAATGATAGGGGTGGGTGACTGACAGCCAACTTTCTCCAACTTTGGACTCTATCAGATGGACGTACTTTTAGAACCAGGTATTTTCTACTGATGTGCTAACTGCAGGAAGTATTTTTGCTTCTTTGCTTCCCTTCCCGAAAGCTTGGACAGTCTTTTAAGAGTGGCCAAAAATTAAACTTCAGAAGGTGAGAGCTGAGCCAGGAAACATGGGGTATGATTTTTGCAGTCTCTACGGAAACTCCTGTTCCAGATTCTCCTCAGGTGTGGAATGCACTGTACATTCCTCTTCTTGCCCGGGAAGACCATAAACAAGAGTAAGGTCATAACCTGTGGAGCTTAGTGAGTCCTTTAAGAAGCACAGCTGATTGATTATTCCTTTGTCTTGGCACAACAGCTCCAAGCGTGGAAAAAAACCATCATCAAGGAGCTCTAGGTCCACGGTGATCTTTCATCTCACTTGTGTATTTCTCTCTCTGGTTCTAGAATCTGGGAGCATCAAAAACAAGGAATGGAAAAAGCCAGATTTAGAGATTTCTTACTGGCATTGCAACAAATCATGAAAACGGAACAATAGAAGCTAATCCGATGCAGCCTAGAATTGTGACATTTTCAAAACTATCATGCCATCACCTTTTGTCAGGCCCCAAAGGAAGCTTGTTTAAAATGGCTTGAATTTCAATTTGAGATGTCACGTTGATGGACTGATATGGGTGGGAGGTTTGCGACTGAGGTTATTTTGTTAGTTACTAATAAATGAGATTACTTCATCACAAGGAAATATCACCACATTTCTTTTTAATATCTGGCTTGGAAAAAATTGGTGAGCCCCAACAGATGACAGAGTCCGATGTCTCAGGTTTTTAGAAAGATTGTGTTTTTTTCTTCTTTTTGTCTTCATTTGTGGTGAGATAGGAAAGAAGCCATTCTAAGCTGCTCCCCTTGTAGGACCTGAGGCCCTCACTGTTCCCGTGGAGTGCCTGCTTTCCTTCTGAGTGACAGATGTTTAACAAGAGCAAATGGGCTACTGAGACTTAGAGTGATTCATAAGACCCCTCACGCCCTTTTGCTCTGAGAGTGCATTGTTTCTTCCCCCGGCCCCAGATGTGGCCATGAGTTCCAAGATGAAATGTGCGGGAACCAGCTCAGCTCGTGTTGTAAACAGCACTGCCTACCTAGTCACCACGCTGTGTCCGCCCATGCCATTTAAAGGAGCAGATATGATTTTTTTTTTTTTTTTGCTCCAGATAGGATTTCAATACCCATTAAAATAATCATATTAAAAACAGCAATACCTGAGTTAGTTGCCTGTTTTAAACAGAGAACTTGTAAAGATCTCAGATTTTAAGTCATCTGCATTCAGAGAATGGATGGTGCAGGCTGGACCTCCTGAGTCCAAGACTCTGGAATTCCAAGACTTCTGACAGCCGTTCCATTTCCTTAGGGTGAGCCTGAAGAGGTGGCTCTGATTGGAGGAGCTGCCAAGCACACAGGTGGTTGGGCTCTTGGTAGAGGCCGAAGCCAAGGGGTTACTGAGGTGCCTTTAGTTTCCAAGCAACAAGTCCCTTTTCTTTTCCCAGGTAACTCTCTGCTCTTGAATTCTGCCATGCAACCAGATCTGACCGTAAGCAGGACATACAGTGGTCCCATCTGTCTACAGGATCCTCTGGACAAGGAACTCATGACGGAATCCTCACTCTTCAACCCTTTGTCAGACATCAAAGTCAAAGTCCAGAGCTCATTCATGGTCTCCCTAGGTGTGTCAGAGAGAGCCGACTACCATGGCAAGAATCATCCGGGGACTTTTCCCCATGGAAACAACCGGAGCTTTACTACAATGCATCCCAGAAACAAAGCTCCCTACATCCAAAACCTGTCATCTCTCCCCACAAGAACGGAACTGAGGACAACGGGTGTCTTTGGCCATTTAGGAGGGCGCTTAGTCATGCCCAACACAGGTGGGTGGTGTGTGTGTGTGTGTGTGTGTGTATCTCCCAGTGTGTGTAACCACTTTGTGTTCATGCAGTTGCATCCTGTCAGATTTGTCTTATGATATTTGCCATCTCCTCGTCAGAGCGGTAAACACTGAGGCTCCAGCAACCTGATTTACTCAGCAAACCAGAGTTAGCACTGAGATTTGCATTCTCCATGTCCTTGGAGAGTCAACACTCCATGTGATGTGCTGTTAGAGAGTTGATAGTCTTATTTGCTTAAAAGGTTTGCATGGTACCTTTGCGATATTTATCTAGAACGTGACCAGGAATCCTTGAAAACATTCTTTGACATGATTGATAGGTACCATGGTTATACTCACACCTGATTTATCCTTTACTATCTACTACTTTTCTAATTTAATGTACTAATTTAGTGAAATGATGCTCAGGGTCAGATTTTATCCCAAGTGACCTCTGAGTCTACGGATTTTGCTAGTAATTTTATTTGATGTGAAGCAGTGATGAGATTCATTGTGGAGTTGCTCTTTTGAATTCTAACTTCAATTTGAGGGATATGTCACAAGTATACTTAATTCTTAGGTGTTTCCTTTACTCATCATTTTGGTTGGAAGAGAATGTTTTGACAGAATCCTTAAGCTGTCCAGCCCAGATTTCCTTTAAAATTATATCCTGTCTGTGGATTTAGTCTTCTGAGTTGCCACCTAAGTGGATGGCAAAAGAGGTCGATTTATCCTCTGAATTTTAAGCAATGAGATTTAGGTGGTGAGCTGAATCAGGCAGTTCTTTGTTGTCTGCTGAGTGTGAAAAAGGCCACTTGATCTGAATGTGTGAGTAGATGACAGATCAGCATTGAGTCAGGGCCATTGCCATTAGGGTCTTAACAGATTTCTCTCTAGCATGGAACTAACCAAACTCTCCAAGAAAGCATTCTGTCTCATCAAATGCAATCGGTGCCAGACCAGTCTGATCTTAGTCACTGGAAACTGAACTTCATCGTAAGTTGGTGAATTTTGTCTTGTTCTCTGCTACATGAGTCCCTTCCTTGAAAACTCCACTTCAATCTGTATGTTATCGCTTGCAAATATCCCTGTAATACAGCCCTAATAATGATTTTGTTTTCTAAGCTTCCACTTCTCTAAGTCTTTCTTAGTCAGTGTTTAGAATGTGATAAGCACCTTTGTTCAAATGTGTGTGACTGGGTCGATATGGTGGCTGTGTATGATCTAATGCTTCCCATTGGTACCTGGCAGGTAGGAGACTCAGTGAGTCAGCCATGTTTACCAGTTACCTATCCTGTAAAAATCCATAAATTTTCCTGGAAAAGGAGAGATAAAAAAATGCATTCCCTGATTTCTCAAAGAATAGGATTTACACAGCAAATCATATAAAGTTCTGTGTTGTGTTATAGTGTGTGTATGTGTGTGTGTGAGCTCCTCTTTCTAGTTCATGCTAGGCACCTAAGAGGCCCTCAGTAGTTGTTGGTTGAGTAAGTACCCCTTGTCTCTCTTCCCATACCCTTGTTTTATAGTTTGTTTTTGTGCATATTAACATCCATGTTGAGGGGGTACCAAAGTCAACCCATTCATTGACTACGTTTGTTTACAATTCATGAAAGAAAGGAGATGAAATCCCGATGAACCAGAGATTTATATTTTTCTTCATTCCTGATTTGAGAGGTACTCATGTTAAAAACTAAAAGTGCTGGTGGCCCTATGGGGTTTCCCAAATACTTCCTCTGTGAAGGGGCCATTTTCAAGGCTCCTTGGATAAGGAGCACTGGACAGTTCTAAAGCTGTTCATTGAGAAGGGGTTTGAGGAAAAATAAATGTTGGAAAATTGAAACATATGCTCAGTTACTTGCAGAATACGAATGCAAAATATGCCCTGGGAACTCAAGTGTAAAGAAAGCAAGGCACAGAAATTTTGTTTCTTTTAAACCATGCATCCCAAATTATTACTGGGTGCCTAGCAATGATTTCTCAAAGTTTTAGCATTCTCCACACTCTAGAAATCATTTATTATGTAAGATATGAAACAGGAAACTCAGACAGGTGGTTCTGTTATCGTGTCAAATTAAAGGCTGTCAGAGTAGCAGGTGGAGTTTGAGGGGAAGTATATTTTATTGTAATCAGGGATAACAAGTGAATGACATATGGAAAATGGATATTCCTTTAAGGGATTCTTAGCGTAAAGGTTTCCCACAGTGCCTCTCCTGCTTCATAATATATAACTTGCCATCAGTACTGCCACCCCTCATGACCCTTGCCTTTGCATTTGACTGCATTCAGTCTCGACATACAAATTGCATGTTTAGGTAGGTGAAGGGAAACATACTTTTAAGATTATGCAATTTATGATTGTAAAAGAGAAAATTAGTTTAAAGCTCCAGTGATCCTACGGATTCAAGTCCAGTTGAGGAGTATTATGAATAATGTTTCGATCTAAACATCAGGGAGTTAAGCCGACTTGAAAAGAACGAGATGTGATCTGCTCCACAAACAGCTTTCTCAGGTATCTTCACACATATTTCTTCTCTTTTGATCTGGAATTAGGCCATCAGGCTGTGATGATCTCCAAACAATATCGTGTCTCAGAAACTGACTTTTTTCACTGAAAATTTTGAAGCTCATTCATGTATTCATGATCATATGTGTACTGTGTGCTCCTGCTCTAGGCCAAGTATTATTTACGTCAAATGGCATCATTGCTTGACAACAGTCTACTGAAGACTAAGGGCTCCATGTTTCTGTCATCTTCACAGCCCAGGGAGCTCAACACAGAAACAGCAAAGAGAAAGTGCAAGGTCAAACACAGAGAGGAGACAGAATGTCTAGGGCATGTCTGTATTCAGGCTGACATCCAAACACACCGGATATTCTGTGTTACAAGTTGAATTCAGCAGCAGGGAGGGGTCCACTGGACGACACTGCTTTTGGCAGTGCATTTCAGGAAGAACAGACAATGCAAGGAGCCTGATTGGAGTTCCCTAAGTATGGCAGTTACAGTTTTGCTACTCTGGGAAGTAAGGGCCAGAATACAAATGGATCTCCTCGCTAAGAAACTGTAAGCAAGATTGAAATGTGCCTCACTCTTAGTGCCCGTGAAAGATACTGATGATAAGTAGCACGTTACTGAGTAACGCTCATAAATGTGAATCACTAGCAACTTGTCCTGCAATGAGTCTTGCATGGCTCCACTCTATAGCTGCTAAGAGACACATAGAAGGTTATTAGTAAAGTCTGCATCTCTGCATTTAAATTATCGTCAGCAACCTGAAAGCCTTCTGTGTGATCACATTAACTCTGACGAAAGGGAGAAGGTGAGAGCTGTGGTATTCAAGGAATGGGAAGATGCCCAGCGATTTCATTTTCTAAAGATTTTGCCGCTTCCTTATTTCATTTCTTTCTGTAAACAAGCAGGTACATTAAATAAAATCCCTGTCATCTCTAGACTCTTCTGTCTTAGACGCAGTGAAATATTTTCTCTGCAGCATTCAGGAACAAAGATGAGACATTTAAAATGCAGTACAATGAGGTTTTCTGTGCCTGGCCCCCTACCACATATGATTTTATGGGAAACAGCTGCTGAGTGCTTTTTTTTTTTTTTTTAATTTGACACTGACACGAATATGGTGAAAGTACCTTTCTAACTTCTGTTTGCAAATTTAAGATCTTATTGGTTTCACAATGACCTATAAGTTTCCTAAGTTTATCAGATGATCTTATTTACTTTACTTTCTTGATGAGATTTGATTGTCCACTGAGTGCCACCCTCAATTTACTTCCAGATTCACAATTTGTAGGTCAATTTCAGATTCTAGCATGGTAGAAGACAGCTCACCCATCATTCTAAGTAACTTTTTAAAGAAATCAATGGATGGAGACATGATGGAGAAATATTAGGGTATTTTCAAAAGTTCATGGAAAATGGAATTAAATAATTGGAGTGCAAAAAAAAAATTTGAAATTTATGTATACAAGAGGTCTCCAAAAAGTTCGTGGAAAAAATGCATATTATGAAAAAACTATTCATAGATTTCAAAATGTCTTTGAGCCAAAATAAAATTTTAATTCCATTATTCTATGAATTTTTTAAGTACTCTGATACATTTTTTTAACTGTGGAGTAGATTAACCAATGCGTCGTCACTTGTATTTTCAGATTTGCTTGTTAGTGTCTAGACTTAGGATATCCAGTCTTTCAATAAAATAATAATTTTAGTTCTCAGTTGAAAAACATGCATTTCCTTACATCACTGTGATTGGGTTTTTTAAACCTTGCATGGTTGGGGTTTTACATAATCGCTATAAGAGTCTTTGATGTGGGCATCTGTAAGGTGCTCAAGTGAGGAACTTCAGAATAACTAGAAAATCAATGACTAATCTCTTGGCATTTTCTGTTTTAGGGGTGAGCTTACTAATACCACATGGTGCCATCCCAGAGGAGAATTCTTGGGAGATTTATATGTCCATCAACCAAGGTGAACCCAGGTGAGAGACAGAGAAAGGTGACACATTAATGGATCTTCTGCAGGAGATCCGAAGCTATTAAGATAATGAGGCGTGGCGGTGTGTAGGTGAGATCGTGAGCTACTTGATTCTATAAATACTGTACAACCCATTGCGAAACGATTGACTAGGAGGAAAACACCCATGGCCCCCATGTTGCAGTCACTGGTTTCTAAACAGGAGATACCAAAGAGAAAACTGTGAATTGGTTAGCAGGTCGTAAGCAGAGCCTCTGCGTGAACACTGCTTCACGTAGTCTTCCTCCCAAATAAAAAATGTTATTCCTGGACACAGTCTTTGGTTCTAGACATTATGCAAACTCAGACCATGATTGACTCACGACTTGTGCCCCCTCCCCTTTTTTTTATTTATTTTTTTTTTCAGTTTGAGAGGCCTAGAAGGAGTACTTCCATCCACAGGGTCACTCCCCAAATACCCACCACAGCCAGGATAGGGGTGGACTGAGCTGGGAACTGGGAACTCAATCAAAATCTCCCACATAGGTGGCAGGCATTTGGAGTCAGGAGCCAGGAATTGAACCCAGGCACTCTGATGTCAGACACAGCTATCTTAACAACTACACTAAACACCCAGCCCGCACAGCCCTCTTGAGGTCAGCAGAAGACCTGCCGTCTACTGGCCGTGAGCAATTTCTTTAGCAGTTTTTCTCAGTGTAAAAATATGGCCTAGATTTCAATAGCTTTCAGGTCTGACAAATTTCAGCAGCATTAAATTCAATTACAGGAACAAATACAAATCTTGTCACGTACTCCTTTAATGAAAGTAGTTTGGTTGTTTTCTTAGCTCAGCTATGGTATTTGTGGGAATGTTGCCTTCCTCCCCACAAGATAAAACCCAGCTCCTCTTTAGAAAGCAATTTCTCTCATAAACTGGATATATACCCCTGGCATTTTTAGTCATAACATCTTGGTTAGTTTAGAATAGATTTTTTTTGTTGTTGTCGTTGTTAGCAGAGAATACATGAAAGGAAAACACTGGAAGGAAAAACAGCCAGAGAAACAGATGGTGTACACAGATTTCGATAGCTGTTTCCGTGACAGGATTTGCTGGTGCCCAGTGGTGTTAGCTGCCTGCTGTGCGGGGTGTGGGAGGAATAGAAGGGAAGTTTTGCCAGTCAATTGTTGGGAGGTTCTTGCTTCACTGACGTAGACTGGACGGTGTTGGGACTGATGTTCTTCACCTGTTTATTCCTGACCAAGTGCTGCTGTCCAAAGAACTTTACTTGGCACTTGGGGGAAATGCAAGCTGTAGCAAAGTTGAAGATGTTAAGAATCTTAGGTCAGGCCGGCACTGTGGCTCACTAGGCTAATCCTCCGCCTTGCGGCGCCAGCACACCGGGTTCTAGTCCCAGTCAGGGCACCAGATTCTGTCCCGGTTGCCCCTCTTCCAGGCCAGCTCTCTGCTGTGGCCAGGGAGTGCAGTGGAGGATGGCCCAAGTCCTTGGGCCCTGCACCCCATGGGAGACCAGGAGAATCACCTGGCTCCTGTCATCGGATCAGCGCGGTGCACGGGCTGCAACGTGCCAGCCGTGGCGGCCATTGGAAGGCAAAGGAAGACCTTTCTCTCTGTCTCTCTCTCACTGTCCATTCTGCCTGTCAAAAAAAAAAAAAAAAAAAAATCTTAGGTCAATCAGTTGCATAGACCTAAAAGTAGAGTGCCCTGGAGGGAACTCAGCTCTTATTTGTTTGTTTGTTTTCATCCATTTGGTTGGTTTACCTAAGAAGCCACGCCTGTTTGAAATTGAAGTCATGGTCAGTTACACGTAGTATAGTCATCACTCTGTATCTACAGGGAATTGGTTCCAGCATCCCCTCAGATAACAAAATCTGCAGATGCTGAAGTCCCGTCTATGAAATAACATTGTGTTTGTATTTGCCTTACACACATCCTCCTGTACATAATATCTTTAGATTATTTACAATATCTGATACAATGTAAATGGCACACTGTATTGTTTAGGGGGTAAGTCTGTGCACGTTCAGTACAGATGGAATATTTTTTCAAATATTTTCACTTGGAATTGGTTGGATCCTCTGATGCAGAAGATGCCGGAGATGGACGGGGACCATGAAGGATGGAACCCAGCCTGTCTTCCTTCCCTGGGTCACAGCCTCCTACCCACCCTGACTTCTGCGTCCACTTCCCTTCATTCTAATTGATCCACTGAGCTTTGGTTCACCTCCTTCCTCTCAAACCACTCCCCAGGATCCTCCACCTCATTACATGAGAACCAACCTAGGACAGTTTCACATTTTCCAAGTAACCTTGTTTATGACTTAACCTCAATCCTCTCATCTCTACTTAAGGCCATCTCTTAAGAGGTCAAGGCCAAAATGTGCCAAAAGGCATCATGCATAGAGGAACACAAATGGCTCAAAAACATCAGGAAAGAATGATCACTGGGTGCATCCTGCAATTTTAAAGTAAGCGAAAGAAATATCTCAGGTTTAGTCAGAGCTAAAGGATTGGTTGGCCTGCCCCGTGGCACTTTAACCTTGCGAGTTCTGAGTTAGCCAGTTTGTCCTATCTGTGTGTCCAAGGTGTGGGTTCATTACTGCTGTCTAGGAAAGCTGTCAAAAGTAGGGACAGCTTATCCAAGACTTCCGCTCTGTGAGGCAGCATTCTCCCATCATAATGTGGGAAAAATAAAATTGTAGGAAGGACACATTTCTGCTGAGCTAGCTGGAACCCTCCCACACAATCCTACAAGGGGACTTCAGAAAGTTCAGAGGAAATGGGACTAAAAGACAAATTGATTTTGGTATAAAAATCTGAAGTCCAGAGATCATCTTTGCATAATGCACATTTTCTATGACCTTTTTGAAGACCCCTCAACATACATGAAACTCAAAAAATGCACCAAAATAAACCCATTTTTTAATTCCATTTTCCACAATTTTTTTAAGTTCCCTTGTATCTCTGAAGGAAACGGCCAGTCCCTTGCTTAGAGACCATTTAGCTCTCTTTGCAATCCTCATTCTCTTTGCATGGGCACCACAGTACTTCCACAGGCACTAAAAACAGCTAATGTGTTTTCTGCTTTTTTCTAAGCTGCCGTGCATTTTTGCCATCCCTGCCAAGAGGCAGCCCAGACCTGACTTCTTCAGCTTTTAATCTCATGATTAATCAGGCAAAGGCCATTGTGTCATCTTTTCTTTGTAATGTCACTTGAAAACCCATTTTCATTTTGTGCCGTCCCGCTGTCACCCTGAACTGTGCTAGACGAAAGGCCCATTTTCCTCAAAGTCTGGAGAGCTGAAATGCATTGCTCTGTTTCTTTCATCTTTGCCACCAGAGCCACCGCAGTCCCCTCCCCGTCAGTTCATAGGTGTGGGAATTAGATTTACTCAGCCTCCAGCACTTCTGTGTACAAAATAGTGTAGCATCTTCTGTGTAAGCTAAAATCCACGCCATTTTCCCAGCCACCACACACGGCTGTTGCCCCTTTCTAAGTTCCATTCCTGACCTAGCAGGGTGATGATTCCCTGGAATTGTAACTGATGCAATTAGTTCAAATTCTCCACCAGATTCCCAAGGGCGTGGCTCTGTGGGATGAGTCAAAGACACAAAGCAGTCTCCCGTGCTGGCATCACCTCAGCTGGTTCCACTGTGATGTTTTGGTGATTTTAAGTGAGGGTGGTGCTCATTGTGTGATAGGCACCCTCTCTGTCACTGGAGAGCCCACTTGTTTTCTTGGTGAGCTTGCAAAAGGACATTGTATACTTCCCAGGAAAAGGAACCACTTCATAGTAATGTCTGGTGTGTAGCACACAGTGGGGGTAACTACATTTTGCAAAAACTTATCATGCATCTTATAAAGAGCTGGAAGACAGGACTCACTTTCCCTCCAACACCCCTGCTCTGTTTACCTTTTCAGATGTGCCCAACTGTGTCTTCATGTATCTTTTCCAGCCCCCTCCTGCGGTCTGACCCTGAGTTAGTGACGATGCTTAGGAACTTCTGTTGAGGTTTTCTAAATAGAGAAACACGTCAAAACCTTTAAGGAAAAATAGAGTTAAAAGATAAGTCTATGTTTGTGCAAAAAAATTTGAAATCCATGCGTGGTGTTTTATTTTTTTATTTTTTTATTTTTTATTATTTTTTTAACAAGCAGAGTGGACAATGAGAGAGAGACAGAGAGAAAGGTCTTCCTTTACCATTGGTTCACCCTCCAATGGCCGCTGTGGCCAATGCACTGCGCTGATCCGAAGCCAGGAGCCAGGTGCTTCTCCTGGTCTCCCATGCGGGTGCAGGGCCCAAGGACCTGGGCTATCCTCCACTGCCCTCCTGGGGCCACAGCAGAGAGCTGGCCTGGAAGAGGGGCAACCGGGACAGAATCCGGCGGCGCCCCGACCGGGGACTAGAACCTGGTGTGCCAGAGCAGCAGGCAGAGGATTAGCTTATTGAGCCACAGCACTGGCCAACATAGTGTTTTCATAATGTGCATTTTCCACAAACTTTTTGAAGAATTCTTATGCATGGATTTTAAAACAATTTTGTTTTGCAGCAAAATAAACGTATCTTAATTATATTTCCTGTGAACTGTTTGAAGTACCCTCATGTAGTATATTCAGTGGTGTGCTTAAAGCAGCCTTTGAATCCTTGGAAAAGAAATCTGTTTGGATACACTATTCAAGGGTTCTCCCAAACATTTGCTTCATTTCATCTCTGTGATACTTTTAATTTTTTTGTTTTATTTGTTTGAAATACAGACACAGAGAATTCTCATCCAGTAGTTCATGCGCCAGATGCCTACTGGGACTGGGCCAGGCTGAAGCTAGGACCCACAAACTCAATCTAGGTTTCCCATGTGGGTGGCAGAGATCTCAGTGCATGAGGCATCTCCCACAGCCTCCCAGGGTGCACTTTAGCAGGACTCAAACTCGGGCACTCCATGATGGGATGCCGGCATCCCAAGCAACATCTTAACCACCACGCCAAATGCCTACCCCTTCTGTGAT